CCAATCTTGGCACATAAATAAGTATTTAAAACTAAATTTTTTTTTTAAAAAGTTTTTTTATTTATTTTGTTACTTTCCAAAACACAATTTTCTTATTTTTAATTTTTTTTTCAACAAAAATATAATTGCAAAAATTTTATGGAATAGATTCGGCACGCCGAATTATTGGTTTGAAAAAACACATCTTTTTTGGCACGATACATAAAATCTTATTGCGACCACTGGTTTAAAATATTGTGTTCGCGAATATATATCTAATTAGCATAGTATGTATATAATTACATACATAAAAACATACAAATATAAATGTTTATGTGCATAAATGTGTAAATAAGCGAATGACTGTGAGCTTATATACGAATTATTCAATACAAAAGAATTTTCATTACTTATAGAGGTAAAATATAATTTCTTTGTTAAGAAACAAGAAAAAACAATAAATATAATTGTTTTTCCTTGTTTCTTTTTTCGTTATTATGACTATTATTATATTGTCTATATTTTTAAACTTACAAATAATTTAACTCAACTTTAAAAAAAAACAAATTTTCTTTATTCAAAACTTTAACCAACTTCATTACCTTCAATAGAAGGCCACCGTGTAGGGAAACCAACTTTTTCCTTTATAAAGGAAAAAAAATTTTAACGTCCTTTTATGTTTTAAGTCATTTGCATCTAAAAAAAATTTGATGTGGTCAGCACATAACCGACCGCAATTGTATTGTCTAGCTAAGTGAAAGTGTTGCAGAATATTATAAAAATGTCTGTTGAATACTTCTTTCCAGTTTTTAGGGCATTAGTAAGTTTATAGTTAACATACCTTGAAAGTGTAAATTTGGCTTTTAGTAGAGTTTCGCTTTGTGCTACTCCAATTTCCTGAAATGCTAGCCAGTTAGTTTCGGTAATAACGGGAACTTAAATATAAAATCGCATCTATCAATTTTGGCACCTTATATTTCCAAAAGTGTAAGCTTTTCCAAATTTTTATAAATGCAGAAAGCTAACAGTAATTTCCATGCCATTAAAAAATATAATTATTTTTCTTAACCCACGCAATCAACTCTTATACTCGAGTATTATATTAACGCTTCTTTAATTTTTTTTTTTGTTGTATTTCAAAGAAGGCATGCAATGTTCATCTTAAATGTATGCAATTTTTGTAATATATTCCTATATGAATAAAAGTAATTTTACTAATGAATACATACATAGATTGTTTTTAATAGCAGTATTTTCACTTGTTGAAGGGAAAAGTGCTACATTACAAACCATTGGTTTGACCCAACTTTTTTAAAACAAAAAAAAACCTCCCCATTTGTTTGTTAAAGTTTGTTAATAGGATATTAATAATGATAATTTTCTCTTACTAACCAGTCATGATAGATAGATGTATTTTCTATTCATATATTGAAAACACGTATTCATTTACATTTTGTTATAATATTATCATCTCAAATTTATAATCATGCAAAAATTATCATCTCAAATTTATAATCATGCAAAAAGATAGGGTTAAATTCCTGCTCCCTAATTACAATGCTTTATTATTTTTAGAAGATTTCAATTCCGTAGTTCCTATCACATAGTTCAAGAGGAAAATATTAACAAAAAAGAAAAAAAATGAAAAAAAAAATCAGTTATCTCTCTTGTTAATTGAAACAATGTCATTCAATTCCTGCAAAGTTTCAATCTGAACGGTGAATACAACGAATGGTGTTTCTGTGGCAAGTGACGGCCATCTTTTTCAATCATCTTTTTTAGCCAATTTTCATTCAATGCATGTTGTGTATTACGCTCTTAAATATATTAAAGGTTGTAGTTTGTAGGGACAATGATATATCCTGGTTTGATACTTATTTTTATGCTGTTTTGGAAAAAGCAACAAATATCGTGAATTATTTAAGGTTTTGTAAAAAAGTTGAAAAACTATTTCATAGGAAAATTTCATCGAAGAATTTTGCTGCAAATAATAATTTACATAATCCTTATATGAAAACGCTCGCATTTCCACAAACGTTTTTTTTTCTTTAAAAGTTATTTCTTCCAAGATAAGCAAATTATTCTATTATGTTTTATATGTATACTTGCATAATTAATGTATTTTACACCTATTTAAACCCTACTAAAATAGCAACAAATAAAAAAAATTTTTTATAACACTTTATACACTTCTCATATACACAAATATTAAACAAGAGCTTTTCAGCTTGAAAAAACTGTAAATAATGCACTTACTTTTCTCACTTTTATCTATAACTCTATATAATGCATAAATTACTTGCACAAACACATTTATACTCGTATGAACATTTCTGGGGCATAAATTTGTCTGAACACAGCAATATAACAACTTAAAATTCTTTATCGCAATATTATAATAGGAGTTTTGTTATATGTAATATGTACATATATAAAAAAATCTAACATAGGTATATATATAAATTTATACACAAAAAAAATATATACAAACAAGAAAGAAGAGAGACAAGACAGAAGAAAAAAAAACTTATTAAGTTTTACAATTTTTTCACACTCAAAAGATTCAAGCAGCTCTCAATTTATATAAGAAGCGAAAAAAGACTAGTTTTAAGAATACTAAATAGAAAACAAACAATTTAACAAGAATAGCAACACCAACAATAAAAAAAAAACAAAAAGACAAAAAAATAATAACAAAAAAAACATAAAAAGAAAGAGAAGCGAAATAAATTCATTCTAAAAACCCTACGTAAGGAAATGAATTTATATTCATTAAAAAATGGAAAACGAGAAAAAAGAACAAAAAATCAAAGTACAAGAAAATGCTCCTGAACTTTTCGGGTTTTCTTTTATAATTTTTAATGTACATTACATTATGTACCTACATTTAAATGAAACATTCATGCACATATAAAATTTATTATGTAAATTTCTTTGCTAATGCAGCATACAATACATGGAACTAACTCGATTACATGCTAGTGTCTTAATTGAGTTTAAGGATCAAAAGGAAAAGAAAACACTTTTTTAAATGGCTATAATTTTCATAATTTCTTATAATAAATAAGAAAGTTTATTTTTTAATAATAAATTAAAAGTATAAAATAAAACATGAGTTTTTTTATATAATGTATTAAATACATAAATTTTTTAATTTCGTAAACACCGTACAGATTATATTTTTTAAGTGAATTAAATAATTTCTAATTTGCAATACAAAATGAAATTGAATAAAAGGGAATTTTCTATTTAGTAGGCTAGTAATTAGAGTAGTTTAAGTCGTTTAATTGAAACACAGTTATCATTGAAACACATTTTATTGAAACGTCACAAGTATCAAAATAATAGCATATTTTTAAGCGACTGCATTTTCGTTATTTTAGTTGATTGGCGGTCTTGATTGGATGATTGACGATCACTTCCCACAAAAACACAATTCGTTGTTTTCAGCTTCACCATTTAAATTTCAACTTTGTAGGAATTGAATAACATTTTTGCAATTGATTTTTCTTTAGAAGAGATAAATATATTTTCCTCTAGAACTATTATAGGAGTTAGGCAATTAAAATCTTCTAAAAATCATAAGGTGGTAAATAGTAAACAAGAATTTACCCCTTTGTTTATGATTAAAAAAATTATAAATTTGAAATAATAATATTCTAACAACAATGTAAAAGAATATGTATGTATATGTATTATATAAATGAAAAAATTCACTATTAATATCCAATAAACAAATTTTGACATTCAAATGATAAAGTTTTTTTTCAAAAACTTGACGTCATGTCGCTATAGTATAAATTTTATTCTTCTAAAAATATAAGAAAAGAAATGATTTTCTTTCTAGACTTATATTTTATTTATAGTATTATGTGAATAGTTCTTTTTAAAAGAAAATTAAAAGAGTGATTACTCCATATTTAATACTCATTATATTTTTATATATGGAGCAGCCAATGAAAAATCAATAATAAATAGAAAGATAGAAATATCGTTACAAAAATTATTGTTAATATCTCTTTTTAATTTCTCCTTTATCTTTTTCTACAATGTTCATGTCATATTGTTATGAACACCCTATATGAATAAAATACATATTTTATATGTATATATCTGTATAAATCTGCTCTCTATAAAATTAAATTCTTTTTGTTAATAATTAACCATACTTATAAAATATAATATAAAAGTTATTATTCAATGATTCAAAAGTTACTGTACGATTTATAATTAATGGGTACGATGTTACAATTTTATTTTCATTATGCACATAAAATGCAAACATAAATTCAATTAGTAGTGAAATTCAAACGAATTTCTGTCTTCAAACTATAAAAAATTGTCTTTTGCATTTCACTATAAACTGTATACACAATGATATTACAAAAATCGGTAGTTGATAAGTTCTTAAAACTTTAACTAATATCATTAATTTTGGCTCATACTTTTTATTTACATACGCAATTTTTAACCACTTTTTTCATTTTATTTTAATTTTCTTTTGTACATAATAATGGATTAGGCCTTTTGGCTATAATACCTTAAAAAAACGCCCCACGTCCTCTAATCTAAGCTGGTGTGCAATTGGGGACAAGCCAATAACCAATAACATTGTCGAAAAGGATTAACCGAAAATGGAACAAAAAATTTCACTTTGAATATTAAATATCAGTTGTAAATATGTATATGTAAGAAAGTGAAGCGTAATATTATTTATTTAGCGTCCTTTTCATTTAAAAAGTAGATTCAATTAACTATTAAACTCGTCTAAAGGTTGTTTTAACTGGTCTAATTATAATTTAAATAACAAATTCGCCGTTATGAACAATGTTCAATTTTGTTCAATTTTAATAGGAATTGAAATTCTAAATCACAAAAACGAATGATGTTTTTGTGGCAAGTGACCGTCAGTATTACAATTACAATGTAACATAAAGTAAAATTACAATAATAAGCAATTATTTCATTCTTTTTTTATCATTATTAAGCAATAAGTAATTTCTTAAATTAAACTTTTTCAGTGAATTTTATTATATTCAAATGGAGAAATATGCTCGACAAGCTGTTACAGAAGGCGTTAAAGGTGCCGATGATTTACATGTCAGTGGTGATAGTGAATTATATAGAGTTCTAAATTTGCATTATAATCGTAATAATCACATTGAGGTAAATTAAAATAAACATATATTATTCATATTTTTATGCACATACGTATATATTACATATTATATATATATGTATTATTTCGTCTATTTTGTATATCACCAATTATTATTTTTTTATTTCACTTATATAAAAAAACAAACCAAAATATTATAGGTTCCTGTCAATTTTCGGTATGTTGTTGAGCAAACGCTACGTGAATTTTTCCGAGCTATCCAAAGTGGAAAAGATACCGAACAATCATGGAAGAAATCAATTTATAAAATTATATCGAGATTAGATGATCCAGTACCAGAGTATTTTAAATCGCCAAATTTTTTGGAACAATTGGAATAGGATTTACTTAATAATCAAAATGATAATGATACAAATACTTAACATAAGCTTATAATAACATATACCAAAATAAAAAAGAAGAAGGTGTCAAATAAATCATCTTTTTCTTCATCTTCTAAAAAAAGAAAGATCAAATGAAATTTAAAACATTTACCAATATTTAGTATTAATTGATTAAAAATCGAAATTGGAGAAAATAAACAAACTTATAAAGAAAAATATATAGGAAAAAGCGGACATATAATTATAATTAGAAAACCAAACAATTTATAAAATTAGAAAAAAATAAAATTGTAAATTAAGTCAAGACACATAACTTTTATTTTACACAAAAAAAAATTAAATTTTAGAAAACACAATAAAAATATTAACCAAAATTTGTATTTTATGTAAAAATATAAAAAATTAAAAATTAAAATTAAACTAAAACTATGTTACACGAAAAAGAAAAAAAAACTTAATAAAAATTTAAATAATTAAAAAATATATAAATTCAACAACATTTGTGGTTCCTATAATGTAGTGTGCTTACGTCCAAAAAAAAAAAATAAAAAAATTTAAAAAAAAAATTAAATTAAACAAAACATTTTAAAACGTAAAAAATTTTTAAGTAAACCAAAAAAAAAGAAAAATATAAAGAACACATATTTAAAAATTTAAGAAAGGTTTTGTATCTGTTTCAGAACGTGCTCCCCCCCTCACCATTTTAAAGCATGACATTTGATTACATGACAACTTCAATAAAGAATTTATGACATATCATCCTAATTAAGAAATGTTTAAGAAGGCTCATTCATTATTTGACTACATTCCACTTAACAAAGAATTCTCATTATTTAAATGTTAAATAAACTATCAAGCAATTTTTTAATTCGAAAAATTATTAGAACTAATTACATTTATGGAACTATAAACTTGACATTATCGTTTAAACCACGTTAAAAGAGCTCATGAACCAAAAAATGTCATACAATTTTTACAATATAGTTTTTAAAAAATCCATGTAGAATAAATAAATAATACGAGTATAAGTGACTTAAAAATTAATATAATATTTTATACAATTTGATAAATATGAAAAATCTCAGTCAACTTTTATTAAAAATCCTTTTTTTCTCTCAAAATGAAATTGCATTATTAGTGTTTTTGAGATGATTACAAATTCTTCTAACTGGAAAGTGTCATATAATGAAATGTCAGGGAATCGTTTCAAAACATAACAAAAACAAAAAAAACAATACACAATTTAATAAATTTTAAAAAGTTGTAATTAAAAAAAAAACCGAAAAAATTAAAGCGACTGCAATTTATCGACGATACTCGCGTTTAGGCCTTCATTTCAAAAATAGAAAAAAGAAAAAAAAAACAAAAAAATTGAAGAAAATAAAAAAAGTTTAAATATTTAAATAAATTTTAGATGAAAATAAAAAAGAAACACAAAAAAACTAAATTTAAAAGAAAATAAAAATTAAAATATTAAAAGTTTTGATAAACGACAAAATTTTAAAATTTAAAATAAAAATTTATTTTACAATAAATCGTCATAATATTTATTGTTTTATAATATCAAATTTTCTTTTTCTTACTTCAAATAGGAATTTTACAAACCAAAAACGAAAAAAAACACTAATATTTAAATTTCAAAACTTAGTCAAAAATTTACAACAACAATTTTCTATAATTTATGTTTATGTTCAAATCTAAAAGAATTAAAATCCTCTTGCGTATTCAATTTATATGTCGAGGTTCTCAATTCCCTTTTTTATACTTGTTTTTCTAAAAAATTTTTTCTCGTAAAAACCATTTATGACCCTAAGAATTTGAAACTCTTTCTTTAATGTTTTAATAACTTTTCATTTGATTATGATCACACATTAGTATTTCAAAAATAAATGTCTTTTCAAATTAGATATATATATGCAAAAGAAATCTTACTGTTATATTTTAAAACATAAGGAATCCAAAGAAACAAACAAAAATAAAAATTTTTTACTTTTTGTTTTTACAACCGAAACTGCAATAGGATAATCACCGGTTCTCTGAAAAAATAGAAGAACTAGTGCAAACCACAACCACAATTGAAAAAATATAAAATAAATAATATTTAAAACAGAATTAAAGTTGAACCAAAAACAATTATACCATATTAAAAATTTAAAAAAAAATTCAAAAGTAATGAAATCAAAGGAAAATATTTTCGTGATAATTTTTTTTTCTTTTTCGTTTAGGAAATAAAGGACAAAAAAAATTAAAATGATTACAAGTGCGACAAAAAAAGTAAAAAAACTACAAAAAACAAGAAGAAACCAAAAAAAGAAACAAATATTATAAATAATCTTTATGGATAGATTTAAAAACAAAAAAACATTTTTGGTTTTTCTTGTAAAACAAAAATTTGTGTGGACTGTATTATTTCGTCTCAATAACTAATATCCTACTGAAAAGCTCAAAAGCAAGTTTCTCTCGCAATAACTTCAATTAATAACTTAAAATATCATAATAACCTAAAATATCAATAACTAGTTAAATTGCAAAGAAAAACATAAAAAAAGAATCAACTTATTAAAATGAGAATTCTCATTCTAGTGAGAAGTTTGTTGTTTTGGAATTCACTTTAGTAAAATAATTTTTTCTCTTCTTTATTTGAAATTTTTTTAACTTTTTGTTTGAATTTTTTTTTTTTTTTTAATCGAAAAAATTTGTGAATCAAATTCATAATTAGTTTATTATTTAATTTGCAATTTTTAACAAACGAAACAAAATTCATAATTAATTCACAGACTCCACATTTTTAAATGTTTTTATAAAGACCAGTTAAATCAGCAATCATTCTTTATGAATAATGCTTAAAATGATTTTTTTATTTTGTCAAAGATTTTACATTTAAATTAAAAAATAATATGTTCATATACATTATTAAATTTCATTAAATATAATACCTATGATATTTGGTAAATATGATAATAATACCACATGGGCCTAAATACACATTGTAGTTGATTTTAAATAATATATATCAAATAATTTTATTGGCAGTTAAAGTTGTGACGAAGAAATAAGTTATTTTATTAAAAGTGAATATATTTTTTCGAATAAAATAAAATTTAGATTTTTAGTAGATAATTAAAAAAGAAAGTATGTGTAGAGACTTATATTTGTACCGTAATAATACAAAACAAAGAATTGTAGCAAAAAATATATTATTTTTATAAATATATTAATTTTAATTTAAAATATCTTTTAAATAATAATTTTTTTTTTTGTACATAAATTCTTGTTAGTTGAATTTTTATTTTCGGAAATAAAAAGGAATAAAATTACACAATTATTAATTTAATAAAGTACAACATTTTTCCCAATTACACATAATTTTAACCTTTTCATAATATACAAAATTAGTAATGAAATTAAAACTTAGTAGTATATTATTAAAAAATAATAATTTTACAATAAAAATATTTTTATAAATATGAAAGCTCCACACACATCCACACAAAATATTAAACAATAACATACTATAAGATAAAAGTTTATAAACATTTATATATATGTATACATTTATACATTTACATACTATATTATATAGAACATATATAATTAAACAACACAATTGTACCAAAGGTTTTTGTCTTTTACATTTTTTTAAATAAAAATTACACGTTCCCAACTAGTCTATATTAACAAATTTAATTTTAAATTCTCAAAAGTTTTTTTTTGTTAATTTAATTTAGTATTTTTTTAATTATTATTAGTATTTTTATCGATTAAATAATTTTATTATATAATTTTTAGATAATCAAAATATATTGCTAAGAATTAATTTAAAAAAAAAACTTTGTTTTCTTTTAACTTATTATTTTCTTTCATTTAATAAACAAAAATTTTAAAATATTATTTATATAATTTCATTTTAATTTGAATATCACAATTTACCCAAAAATCATTTATTCTTAAAACATTTAATTTTATATTCATAAACAAAACATTTTCCAAACCAGTTGCTTGTACTAAAATAGGTTTCACCGACTTACATATAAAGTAAAAATTCAGAATACAATAAAAATTAAAAATATTCCTTCAAAAATCCAAAATCAAAATTCTATAAAAAACTTTTTGAGAATTTTTCCCGCAAAATGAATCGTTTTACAACAAAACAAATCTTCGATAAATGCCATATTGTCTGTGGATTACGGGAGGGTAAAGAGGGACATAAATTGTTTTCTTTTATTTATTTCAAAATTTTCAACCAGTAAAAAACCAGAAAGAAAATTTTGGACATTTCGAACCATAAAGAATATTCCAGTTTTGAAAAGAATAAAATCGTAATTTTCAACAATTTATTTATCAAAACAAATTCTAAAATAGGGCATTTTCCAGTTTTAAAAGATCATGAAAAAAATTTTGGTATTTTAAAATTTGGAATCGAAATTATACCAATTTTTTATGTAAATATAAAAAAAGAAAACAGTTTATAATAATGTTAACTACATGGAAAATAATTGCTTAATATTAGGTTGATACTTTAAATCGAAAAAATTTATCACTAAATCTAAAATAATAAGCAATTACAACAATAACAAAATAGAAAAATTTGCTTTAATATTAAAACTTAAATTAAATTTTTGAAACAAATAACAAAAATGTACCCTTTTTTTACCGTGTGAACTATATATTTCTGGATTACAAGCAAACTAAAGAGGTATAAGTAAGACTTAATGAACTTTTTATAATGTATTTATAGCCTCATCCATAGCATTTTCGATATCAAAAGAATACATTTACGTACATAACGATTTTATTTACACAATATAAAGAAAACCAATTTAACTTCACGGATTTTAAATTTTTTATAATAGCCCAAATAATTTTAAATGCTTTTAATTTTAAGATTTTTTTACTGTAAATCATTTTGGAGAAATCCGAATTGAGTATATATAATCATATATCTATTTCAATTTCAAAGATTGTAATTTACAGTAAGAAAAGTCTGAAATAATTTTTAAAGAGGCAATTAAATATTATTATAAAAGACCATTTTTTTTATATATTATTATACTTATTACATTAGCTTAATACATAAGGTATCAGTCTAAATACATTTTAAAAAATAGATAATTATTATTTAAGAAAACTTTTACAATTATTTTTACAATTACAAAAGCACCCATTTCAGTTTTTTTACCAGAAACGGTTTTTAGAATTTCAACAAAAATTGATCTGCAATAGCCCGAAAATTAAAAAAAAATGTTTCACAAAATCAATATATGTATATGTATTATAAAGTGAAGCAAAATTACTTTCAAAATAGTTAATAACTGTAACTTAAGCTTATAAAGAAATTTTATTAAATCTTAGTGGTTTATACAGCAGGTAGTAGATTAAATTTTCTTTAATCTGATATGGCAATAATTGCTTATTCCGAAAAGACAAAATCCAAATTAACTTTTTTTTTGTATTAAAATTTTAAGAGCCTATAAGCTGCCTATAAGCATTGGACAAAAAAATCTGAGAAAAATTTATGAAAAAAATTTATAAATATTTTTAAAATAAAGAAATTTGGAAAATTCTACACTCTAAATAAGGGCTAAAATATCGGAAAAGCTTATTAATACAATGATTAGTAATTTTCAACTAATTGCTGTTGTAAATTTCGGTAAAATTTTTTAATATTTTTTGTCGTTTTTAAAGTTCTTTCATATAAATACGAATTTCAAATAAAAAAAAAACAAATTTTATCAATATGGCGAATTTTTTGAGGTGATTATATAAAGTACTTTACATATGTATACCACAGCAAACTATAAAAAACACAAGTTACACATTTACACAAAATAAAAAAAGAAATAGTTAAGTTTTGTTAAAAATTTTGAATTTTATCGATTATATCTATAACGTATAAATTTGAAGTCAGAATCTTATATTTTGTTAAACTTTTACGAAAAAAACAATATTATATTATGACACACTATAATGTGATAAAATATAATTATGCATATTATACCTTTGTTCGATTATTTTCATTTGCTCATCCCGGAACTATCTCAAAATTTAAAATTTTTTTTCTAACCATTTAAAAATACATTCTACACAAAGTATTTTTTTTAAAAGAAAAACCAAATAATGAACAAAAATTTTTTTCGACAAAAAAAAATAAGACAATAAAATAAAATTTTTGGAACGTTTGGTGATTTTGTAATTTATGTTTTGAATTTTATGATATGAAATTAGGTAACCAAAAATATATTTTAAAACACCGAAAATACACATATGTAAAGCTCCGCAAAACTAAATCAGATGAAAAATAAATAAGTAAACTGTTCAAATTTCAAAAAAAAAAACAAGCAAACTAATATATGCACAACATAAACAAATCCAAAAACCAAAAATAAAAACCATAGCAAAAAATAATAATTACTCTGGAAAATAGTATCAAAGCAATAACACAGCGAAAATATAACCAACCAAATAAAAAAAGTACATAATCCAAAACAAAAACCAAAAATTATTAAAAACAAATATTTTACACAAATAGATTTGAAAATTATTAACAAGAGGCAAACAAAAAGTCAAAATTATCAATAATGCACTGCAACTGCGTATTACAATTTCATTTACACAATTATTGAGAACCAATAAAAAATTTGAGAATCGACAAATACAAGAATGAAAATGCAAGCAATATTGCAAAAGAATAGGATAAAATGATATATACTGAACATAGAATATATAAAATCAATAAATTTATATTATAAAAAATCATATTTTACATTTACTACATAAATACAACAGTCAGAAAACTATTTAAAAGCAAAAATTTTAAATAAATTGTTCAACCAAGCAAAAGAAATAAAACTAGTTTTGCTGGAAGTTTTCCATCTTAATAAAAGTCATTTTTTCATTTAAAAAGCAAGAAAAACAATTAAATATATTTAAAAAATATAATAAGATAAAACAAAAAGTTACTTAGCTCTTCATATCTTAAAAACAATAAAAAAGCATAAACATATTGTAAATCAGTTTAAAAAAACAAAAACCAATATTATAATTAAAAAAAATTCAATTTGTAATATAAGCCAAGTTCAAAAAATCTCATATAAATTAAAAATTACAAAAAAAGTTGTAAAAACTTAAATAAATTTATTGTAAAATTTTTTAATAAAATATAAAACAAAAAATTAAGTTTTTTAAAGAAAGAAAAACTTAATTTAAACATTTTTGTTAAATTGGAAATATTGGGCAGGGAGTTAAATTTAATTATTTTTTCAAATTAATTTTTTTTTATTACGAAACTGAAATTGAAATGGAATTCCCGAATAAATTAAAACAAAAATAAACAATATGCAATAAATCTTAAGTATATCGATATT